TTACTTTCATCGTTTTCTCCTGCTTCAGATGTCACAGTGATTGTGAAAGTCGTTGGCTTTTCTGACAATACTGTTCAAATAAAAAAAAAAAAAAGAGACAGAGAGAGATTCCTTAAATCAGACATCTACTTCTCCACCCCATTAAAACTGAACTTCTCAAGGACTAATGAAGCAAGCAAGCTCTCGATACAGTGTTAAGGGCCCTTTTACCCTATTAATAACAAGTTTTCAATTAACAGCTATTTTCCATATGATGTGATGTTTGGAGTGCTCTTTGAATGAAAGCATATAACATCAACAATATCATAGAGTATTTCTTTTGGAAAGTTTTATCTTTTGGCAGTTTCACTTTCTCAAAAAGTGCAAACTTACCTACCATCAAATGACTTAGGTTACCGCACTGAATGCGTGCAGAAAGCTCCCAAAGCTAATTTTCTTCACTGTGCTAGATATGTGTGATAAGCATCCAGTGCACTCTTGACCCTGGACTATTTATACAGTTTATCTGCACCTGTTTCTGTATTTCGGACAGCTTAATGTAACAAATGCTTCTTAAAACAAAAAAGGAATACATAGCGCTTTCCTCCAAGAACGTACCATGCAATTGATGGGCTAGAATGAAACTGCATGAACAGGGCAGCTAGAAGACAGACAACAAGCAACTCTATAGAGATGCACAAATGCAAGCCCCGTGATCTAAACTTTCACAGACTACAAACCCCATCGCACAATTGTGGCTTGCAGACCATATCCTCAAAAAAGGACTGCCCTCTATCACTGTTATAACCTATGTCAAGTCTAGTATATATGCTCTTGCAGTACTAACTGAATTTTGCCCAGTTGCTAATGTACTACTAGAACCTTTTTTCCTTGCTTTTCTTCAATGCATAAGAGCATTATAGGAATGAAAGATGACTCACAGCAAGCATCAGAATAGAGGCTATATGAAAGTATATTACAATAAGTGATTCAGCATCCTCAGCTAGCAGAGATCAGTTCATATACCTTTACCACAAAACTGAAGAACCTAAAAAGTTTTCAGATTAAAGCAATGGGCAAATGCACCAGGTAAACATCCATATGACAAAGTTACTAGCAAGTAACATACAGTGGGACCTCAGACACAACAGATACTGTGCAGGAAGAAAACAGAAAATGCAAATTTTTTTCATTATTAACATTATTTGGATAACGAGTACCATAAATCACCTTGGATTAGCCAGCACGACAGATACTCCTAATTGTTGGATTAGGAAGTCCTGAAAATCTAGCAAGCCAACATATCCACCGAATGACAGTTTCAGCAACATAGCACACCTGGGAATTAAAGCTTGCCTTTGCTGCACCACAGGTCTGCAACGGGCTAAGGCAGATACTGGCAACGCACTTACAGGGCAGCCAGCGCCTTCGGGCAGCCCCAGGCCGGCCCGTGCTT